AGTTTATTTGAAAAAATAAAAGTGAAGAGTGAGGAAGAACCTGGCAATGCAGAGCGAGCTTGAGCCAAGTAAAAAAGGAAAAAGCAAGATAAAAGTACACCCTGAAGCTTGGTGTGGTGGCGCAAGCCTGTAATCCCAGCACTTGGGAGGCTGAGGCAGGAGGATTGCTGTGAGTTCAAGGCCAGCCTGGGCTACATAGTGAGTCCAAGGCCAATCTGAACTACATAGCAAGACCCTGTCACCAAAAAAAGTACACCCTGGAGAACACAGTGTGGGCTATTGCGAGGAAAGCCACAATAGCCTTTTTATTTATTTTTTATTTTTTGGTACCATGGATCGAACTTGGGTCCTTGCGCTTGCACAGCAGGCGTCGAAACCACTGAGCTAAATCCCCGGGCCCTTCTTTTTATTTTTAAGACAAGCCATTTGTTAAGGACAAAAATCTCGATGGTGTGAATACTGTCCCATGATGGAGACTAGTTTTAGTGGGTTTCTGTCTCCCTTAAAAGAACCCCTGCTGCTTATCACCTCACCCCCTTGTTCCCTTCTCACTAACTTCTCTCCAGCTTCCTTCATGTCTTTTTGTTCTTCAAAGGCGTCAAGCAGAGTGGCTGCTCGAGCTGCCCAAGATACACGACTACCTCACCTCCTTCGGAGTATGGCACCTTCTCACAATAGTCAGCACAAGGGACATTTGCCATAGATGTTGCTTCACTAGGTGTTTTGAGAGCTCTAGTAGAGGCAGGGTTTTAAATACCAAGAATTCATTTTGTCTTTCTTCTTCTTTTTTTTTTTTTTTGGTACTGGGGATCAAACTCTGGACCTTGTGCTTTCGAGGCTGGCGGCAGAACCACTGATCTAAATCCCTGGCCCTAAGAATTCATTTTCATTCTTAATATTAGCTACAAGCAAAACACTTTTCACTTGGTAGAACCATTGTCTTGAACTAAACCAGATAAGGGCTCACCTCACCACTGTTGCCTACTCATCAGAAAGTTTCCAGGGCTGTGGATGTAGCTGACTGGTAGAGCACTTTCCTGGAATGCACAAGGCCTTGGGTTCTGTTCCTAGCCCTGAAAGTAAAAAAGAGAAAGAAAAAGAGGGAGGGAACATTTCCTTGTAGTTGAGATAGCATATATTCCTGTATGTAACTGATCTTGAGGACTACATGCCTTATAAACCTGAAGGTCTTCTGATTTTTGTAATAAATTTGTATTATCTAAATGAAAGATTAAGATGTGAGATCACAAAATAGTTTTACTGATACTTTTCCTAAAAGGGTTTAGCACTAGCTAACCCATTGTATAACTAAGTCTACTTTAGATGCTTCATACTGCTTATAACTTTGAATTTGAAATTTTTTTTTAAACTACTAAAATTACACATTGCAGCCAGGCATGGTGGTGCATGCCTGTCATCCCAGCACTTGGGAGGCTGAGGCAGGAGGATTGCCACTATTTGAGGCTAGCTTGGGCTACACAGTCATTTCAAAGCCAGCCTGAACTACATAGCACGACCCTGTCTCTAAATAAAAAAACAAATAAAATAAAATAAAATTACACAGAACAGAACTTTAGCAGGGTTAGAAGAGAGGTAGAAATAATGGGGAAATTTCTCAAAGTTGACTACCACTGTCACTTCTGGCCTTTTCACATTGCCATGATCCTAGTGCAGAGATGGTGGTAAAGGTGATGAGATTTGGAAAGTACAATGGAGAAAATGTTCCAGCTGAGAATTCACTGTTAACCTTTGTACATATTTGCTTCCATTTTCTTATCTATGTGCACATTTGTATAAAGAAAAACAGAGCAAATAATGTACAAGTACTTTGTCTCTTTTTCAGAGGAATATAGTGTTAGGTAAATCACTTTTAATCACCTTTGACCTGTTTTGTTCTCTGTTCCTGCCATGACGGTGGTCCTAGATTCTACCTAAATTACTTTGCAACTTTAATATATGTCTGGAACAGTTTTCCCATAGTCAAAGCATGGGGAGGAAGTATCATTGCTTCGTTTTAGTCTACTTAAATGGTATGATGGTGTATATATCATTCTGTTAACTTTAGAGCTTTTTTAAAAAAGACTTTTAAAAAAATCCTTTTTTAAAAAAAATCTTTTTAAAAATACCTTTAGATCTGTCCAAGTGGATTCATACTGGTCTAGTTCATTGTGTTTGACTGTATAGATTCCCAGTAGGGGGTTATTTAGTTTTACAGTTCTATAGTTCTGGTCCTGTTGATAGGGCTAGATTTTGGCTTGTTGCTTTTATAAACAGTGCTGCTACAAATATTCTCATCTTGGACATCTATGAGTACTTTTCTAGGATCATACAGAATTTTTTTCCCTGATTTTTTTCCCTTTAGTATTAGAATTTGAACATTTCCATTAGGTTATTACAGTCTCTTCATAAACCACATACTCCAGAGTCTAGACTTCAATATGTCTTTTATTTTCTTAGTGAAAAATTAATATTGGACACAAGGCTGTGTTTGGTTTTTGAGACAAGGTGTTGCTATGTAGTCCAGGCTGGCCTCAGCAGTGATCCTCCTGCCTCAGCCTCCCGAGTATTGGGACTGCAGGCATGCACCACCATGCTGGGCATCACAAGGCTGTTTTTGCATCCAAGTAATTCAAACATTGCAGTGTTGTCTGTCTCTTTCTTTCCCATTCATTCATTCATTTTTATCTTTTTTTTTTGAATAAAAGAAGACAGTTTATTTGAAGATGGGGAAGGAAGGAGAGAGAGATGACAGACAGCTACTATGGAAGAGTAGGGAGAATTCAAAAGTGAATTGCTCTTCATTCTTTTAAAACCAGAGCATTTGAGACTAATTATTGAAGTTTTGAAGATGAACTGTATTCTGCAGCAGCTGCTCTCTTGGATTTAGGTGTTGTTCCTTTGTTTAACCCATGCCTGAATCTGCAGTATACAATTTTTAGGTACCTTGTTTGATCATTCCTGGTGGACTTTTCCTTTTTTGTTTTTGGTACCAGGGATCAAACTCAGGACTTTGTGCTTGCGAGGCAGGCGCGGTGCCACTGAGCTAAATCCCTGGCCCACCTGGTGGTCTTTTAACCATGGCACTCCAGTTATACTTTTTGTGTTTGGCAGGGTGGCCACATTTGCTGCTGGTTGACTTCTGAAGATGGTAGGTGGTAGAGCCACTGCAGCACCACAGCAGCGCATCTTACTATGATGCTTTCCAAACACCAACATCACTTGGTCAGCTCACTTCTGCCACTAAGACCAAAGAGTCACAGGGTTGTCTTGACAATAGTAGATGAAATTTGAAGCTATTTCAACACAGAGGATTTAAAAACAGAAATTAGAAGCAGGATTAGTACTTGGAGTGGCTGGAGCAAAGACTAGAATGCCAGAGATTTTGTGTTCACAATTGTGTCCCGTGCCCCCCCCCCCGTTTCTAACTCAAGGGAAGTGTCTTAAGATTTTAGAGACAACCTCTTTAGCAACTCAGCTGAGGCTCGTCTTCCCCTGCAACTCTGCATCTTTCTGTCTTTCCCTATCTTTTTTTTGTGTGTGTGTGTGTACTGGGGATCAAACTCGGGCCCTTGCGCTTGCGCAGCAGCCGGTGAAACCACTGAGCTAAATCCCTGACCCTCTTTTCCTGTCTTTGTGTGTGTGTTCCCCCTGCCCATTTGCATTCTCCCAGCTGTGTTGGTACTACTCTGTACACGTTGCAGTTGTTTCTGTCTCTTGTGCTATTGATATAGTTCTCTCTTCCAGAATATTTTGCTGTCTTACTTTTGTACCCCAGACAAGCTTGTTGACTGCCATATAGGTGCTGACATATATGTTTGAAATGAAAGGAAAGAACCTGTGAGGATAAGGTGAGGGGGACCTGGGACTGGTACATGTAGTGGTGGTGAGAACTGCCGTAGAAAGAAACTGGAATTTATTCCAAGTGTGGAATGGAATAAAGCCATCTTAAATGAGGAAGTGAAGTGATAAGGATGACAGAATGACAGCTTTGATGATGGATCTCTGCTTTAGAATATTGTCTCTCGCATATATACATACTGATTAAATCACTGGTTTTAAGTTAGAAAATAAATTGATTTCTCCTTAGAATGTTAAATCGGTGTTTTTCTAGGAAATACTTTTTTTGTTTTTTGGAACAGGGGATGGAACTCGGTCGGGACCTTCTGCTTGCGAGGCAGGCACTGGAACCAGCTAAATCCCTGGCCCTCTAAGAATACATGTGTTTTTTTTTTTTTGGTATCGGGGATTGAACTCGAGTCCTTGTGCTTGCGAGGCAGACGGCAGAACCACTGAGCTAAATCCCCGGCCCTAGGAATACGTTTTTAAAAGAAATTTAAATCCATTACAGATATAGCTATCTCAGATTTTTTTTTTTTAACTTCTTTTCTCATTTCTTGGTTGCCTGGATTTTAATCAAAATTGGGTTTCCTTGAATTAGTAGACTAAAAGTAAACAAAATATTTTGGTCACTGTTCTTTGGAAATCCTTTGTGGTTTGGAAGTGGTATTCCTCTAGGATTTCGGCAGCTTCATTCACATTCCACAGACAGTCCAGCCAAATGATGCTAGTAAATGGGCTTCAGAAGAAGTTCAGGTGCAGAGTCTCAAATTTAGAGCTTGAGCAATAAAACTGTTGGGAGGGAGACTCCAAGTGAAGTTTCTTAACTTTTATCTTGACATTAGTTATAAAACATTTAGTATTATAAATTCTCCTTGGGTGAGTACTTCTATAGCTCAGCAAACAATTGCTTTGTAAGATTATTTTGTATAAAAAGCTGCATTTCTTCCAAAGTTTGAGAATTCTTACATATTTTGGTTCATTGAAATTGTCAGGAGAACATATAGTATTAGCACTAGCCAAAGATCTGAGGTTGTAAATAATGATTTATTTATGAGCATTATCACCTTTTCCCAATACTGAAGTTATTTCCAGGTCTGACATACATTAAGACTCATTGTTCTCTGGATCTTTTTGCTTCTAATTAACATCTCTTTTTACAGGATTCATGAATAAAATTTTCCATCCCAACATTGATGAAGCGTAAGTAACTATTTAAAAATGTTTATATGTTAGCAACAACTGCTCTTGGTCAGAGTACCTCTCTCTCTCTCTCTCTCTCTCTCTCTCTCTCTCTCTCTCTCTCTCTCTCTCTCTATCTCTCTCTCTCTGTCTCTCTCTCCATTATAAAAGAACCCTCAGTTATCATTTTGGGTTTGATGGGAGGCAGGACTGTTTGAGTGCTCATTTGAAATGTAGAGTCCCAAGGATATGGTATTACAGACGACTGTGCTCCACTCAGTGTGCTGCTTAGTATTTTCCATTGTCCTGACTAGATCCTTCATTTCCCTCACTATCCAATGTTAATTTCTAATGTTCCACATCTCAGTTCTTATTGTATAGGTACAGATCAGTGATCTGTTTTCAATTTACAAATTTACTATTTTGAGCCTTTAAGGTATTTCTTTTTCAAGGAAAGGCAAGTATGAATGATTAGTTTCATTGCAGTCAGTGACTCAATTATTCCCTTTCTTTGCTTCTAGTATTTTATTAGTGATTTGGGGGGAGGGGCAGGTTCTCTCTATGTAGTTCAGCCTGGCCTTGAATGTACTATGTAGCCCAGGCTGGCCTCAAACTCAATCCTCTTTTCTCAGCCTCCCAAGTGCTGGGATTCTAGGCGTGCACCACCATGCCCAGCTGTAAGTGATATTTTAAAATGATTCTAGTATAGTCTATTTTGTCCTCCCACTGGTATTTAGAACACATAATTATTTGGACTGCAGTTTTTACTTTGCATGGCGTTCAGTTTTGCTGTTGGTCACACAATTTACATATGAGGATTCTCTGGACCTTGCATGAGTAGGTTGTATATATACATCTTGCCTTTTCATCATTTAATTTTTCAGGGTATCAGTCATCCTAACAAAGGATATTCTCTTATGTAAGCAAAGTATAGATGTCAGATTTAGTAATTTAATACTGTGATAATTTTTTACCTAATCTGCTTCCATACTGCAATGATGAATCTTTTTTTTTGAGACAGAGCCTCTCTGTGCAGTTCAGGCTGGCCCTGAACTCACTGTGTAGCCTAGGCTGGCCTTGAACTCTGGGTGATCCTCCTGCCTGAGGCTCCCAAGTGCTGGGATTACAGGTGTGTTTCACCATGCCCAGCAGTAATGTACTTTTTATTTTTTTGGTACCTGGGATTGAACTTGGGACCTTTCTCTTGCGAGGCAGGCGAAGAAGCACTGAGCTGAATCCCTGGCCCAGTAATGTACTTTTTAACACCTTTTTTCTTTCTTTTTTAAGGAAAAGAAAGGATTTAGCCCTGGATCACATTGCAATCATCTGTCGTGCTTCCTTATGCAACTGTAACGTGGAATAGTTCTTTGGGCTGCTCTTTATAAAGTTAATGTTTTTAAAGACTAGACTGGTTATTTTATAAATTGGTCTTCAGTTTGAGTTTGCTTGTTTCACTAGAGTCAGGGTATGTACACACTTAGCCACACAGAGAGATCTCTGCCTTTACTTTCCAGTGTTAATTCTGATCACCTGGTTACCACTTTCCTTTTCAATCTGTACGGGGACACTTAAGGCCTTATAAATAGTCTCATATTTTCTCCCAATTGGGTTTTGTTTTGTTTTTAAAGGATTTATGAAAAGCATTTCAAGTCAAAATTAGTTGCCAGTTACATGCAACTAACTTTGTAATTTTTTTTAAATTCCATTCTTTCCATCTGTTTCAGGTCAGGAACTGTGTGTCTAGATGTAATTAATCAAACTTGGACAGCTCTCTATGGTGAGTTTCGCCAAGGGTTATTTTTTTGGAGATGTTGAGATACTGCCTAAAATAATGTTTGGCTTTGCTTTTCTAACTTAAGATGTTTTGTTGGGAATGGGAAGGGATTTTGAGGGATGGATGGGAAAGTTTGATCAGTGAAAAAAAAATGTTTTCTAAAGTACAAACTTCAGTTTAACAGTGCAAATTTAAAATATTTTTATGAGATTCTGAGCTTAAGGTTTAGTGTACACAGATAACTCATACGTAAACATTTACATATGTGTGTACTCAGAAGCACATTGTATATGTGTTTATATGTATATCATTTAATTTTGGAAAATTTAGGAATGTCTTTCTTAAGTGAGGTGAATGATACAATAAGAGATTCCAGAGATCATCTGTTTCAAAGGCCAGATGCTCCTTATGAAGCGGAGTGACTGAGCCTTTCTTTGGGTCTGAAATTAACTCAGCTCTTACAGTGAATCAACAAATGAATGTCCCAGCTCCACAGAATCTTATGCCGAACATCACAGAGAGATAGAGGAGTATTAGGCCTTCTTTCCTTGAGCTTTAACTGCTTAGGGAGCTGAGAATTTTCTAAAATAAATTTAAAGTTAGAGATGCAACAAATGGGATTTTTCTACCTACATGTCCAAGTACTCAGATTCATGGACATCCTGTGCTCCAGTGCCCCTACCCCAAGAGCTTCCTCTGATTCTTCTGCTGACGCTCATCTCTGGGTACTCTTTCTCTTTATAGCTCTTTCTTATGCTTCACTTATACTTTTGTACCTGTATTTGTTGTTTATGGCTACATTTTTGTCCTGCTAGACTTGTTTCTTACCTGAAGGGCTGTCAGGTGCATGTCTGATCTGTCTTTAAGTCCTTGGACTCCTAGCACAATACCTCTCAGCAGTATGAGTTGCAGGAATGAGAGGTATGTGTAACAGTTGCTGAAGGCCACAGGTAGAAGAAGGAAAGATCGCTTACGGCTGGGCTTATCTTTGGATGGCTTCCTTTAGTTGAAGCATTGTGAGACCTTTTAATGGTCTAAGGTAAAAAGGCCTCTCAGCCCTCCCACAGGCTGAGAGTCACCTTTGCCAGGCATCCTTGTACCAGGTTGGTGAGTGAGAATCACAGAGGGAGGTTGGTCACCAACAGAACAGTTAATCCCCCCACCTTGATCCTGTCATTTAAAAATTATTTCCTCTACCTAGAATTCTGGTTTTCATATGACTAGGACCCTTCTTTTCTCACTTCAAGCGTCACCTCCTCAGAGAAGCCATTTCATTGCACAGTACCTTCTTTTAAATAAAAATTTTTAAAAGCTTGGGCTGGGGATTTAGCTCAGTGGTGCCGCTGCCTGTCCCAAAAGTGCAAGGACCCAAGTTTGATTCCTGGTACCCAAAAATAAAAAAAAATTTTTTAAACCTGTTATTTATCATTTATCTTGTTCTTTTTAATTATACGTGCCATGAAAGTTAGTGACTTACTTGTGCTTGTCTACACACACACACACACACACACACACACACACACAGAGGCCTAAAGCAGTACCAAATGTACAGTGAGAATTTAACTGTTGACTTAAATGAATGCAGTAACTATGCTCTGCTGTTTAATATGAAAAGTTTTAGGGAGACATTGTCATAAGGAGATGAGACAACAAGAGAGAACATATACTCTGAAGCTGATTAAGTGGATTCCTTTTAAGATTTTTTTCTTATCTTTTTTTATGGTTTAAAAAAGTCTCATGGCAGGCTGCCTGGAATATCTAATGTAATGAAGTGTTTTCTTAAACTACATTCACATTTTACAAATGTACATATCAAAATACTGCAAGCTGGTTCCAATTACAATGAAGTAAATTAGACTTAGTTTCATTAAATCTTTTACCATTGACCAGAAAAGCTTCCTAGGAGAGGTTTGCTGATTCTCAAGTACCTCTTATCTTAGAACAAAATTTTTTAAATGACAGCTTTATTGAATTATGATGCACCAACATACAACTCATTCACTTAAAGTAATTCAGTAGCTTTTAGTATATTCACAATAATGTGCAACCATCACTATAGTCAATTTTAGAATATTTTCATCCCCTCAAAAAGAAATTCATACTCTAGCTATCCCCCAAAACATTTCCTGGCAGCTATACCCTACTGTTCAGTTTCTGTAGATTTGTCTCTTCTAGACATTAGTTATCAATGAAGTTATATGAGATATGATCTTCTGTGACTGGCTTTGTATGTTTCATAAGTTTTCAAGGTTCATCTGGTTATAACATGTATCAGAATTTCCTTTATATGACTAATATTTCATTATTACCACATTTTGTTTATGTGTTTGTCATAACATAGACATTTAGTTTGTTTACACCTTTGGGCTATTATAAATAATCCATTGGTAAATATTTGTACATAAATCTTTGGGGTTTTGTGGGGAGGGGAAGGGACCAAGGTCTCAGTTTATAGTTCAGGCTGGCCTTGAGGTCACTGTGTAGCCCAGGCTGACCTCCAACTCAGGGCAATCCTTCTGCCTTAGCCTCCTGAGTGCTGAGATTACAGGTGTGCACCACCACGCCTGGCTCAAAAGTTGTACCGTTTTTACATTCCCACCAGCAGCTAGCTTTATGACCAAGGTTTCATCATATTTATAATTACAATATGTTCTTATTTTCTTGCAAAGCACTTAATAAGCAATAAGAGTTAAAGCACATTGGTCAAAGTGAACTGAAATGAGACTTCCACAGTGCATATGTATGAGTTAGTCAAAGTGTTCCATAACAACTAATACTACAGGTAAGTGCAGGAAAACAAAAAGATTTCAAGAATGTAGTCAAAAGCATACTGAGCGTGGGAGAATTGATCTGACACTGTACTCAAAACTATTCTAAAAAAAAAGTGTTAATATTTCTTTCATGGAAAGTTTTAGAATGAGCAGGTAGTAAACACACTTTATATAAAAGTAATAGTAGAAACATTGGTTCATATAACCTTGAAGTTTATTCTTTAAACTTATCTGATCTTGAGTTCTGAACTAAATTTTTATTACAAACTGCTAAAGCGTCTGGCATTGAAGGTGAATTCTCAGCCACTCTGTTTCCTGCAGTGATCCTTAAGAGAGTCTCAGTTCAAAGGACAAAAAAAATTCAACCTAACTTTATACTAAAAACTAATAGAGAAAGTTGGTATGTTAACATAAATATTAAACTGAAAAGCCAAAGGTATCCTAGCACCTGGAATTTGTTCCAACACCTGCCTCTTCCGTGTAATCCGGTGAGCAGAGACTTGATTGTGAAATTTCCTGCTGTTCATTTTGCCTGCAGTGTGTACTGTACAGTGGGCATAAGAATGTATAGTAGAACAACAGTTCTCAGTTGAAATTTCAGACTTTACATTAATCATAACCTAATAGTAAACAGTGTCCATGTTAGCGGTAAATTTAGTTCTCTGTCCAGTTCCTTCCCAAGAATATTGATTTCTGATGGCCCATTTGACACATTGCTTCTGTTCTCATCCAGTGTTCTCTTTGCCAAGTGCGTGCAGTTTGTTCATTCAGAAGTTCAAAATTGTGTAATTGTTTAATCACCCAGTAATTTAAAATTTTATATTATTTAACCTTGCAGGAGAACTAATTATATTTTGCAATATGGTTAATTTTGTAAAGATGCTTGTCATCAATATGGAGTAATCAAGAATGAAGTTATCTATGTGACTCTTGCACCATTAAAAGAAAGTAACAAGGTCGGGGATTTAGCTCAATGGCACCACGCCTGCCTGGCAAGCACAGGGTCCTGAGTTCAATCCCCACTACCATAAAATAAAAAATATAAGAAAGTAGCAGATGACAAAATTGATTCATTTTTGGAATTCTTGCGTGGTAGCATTTTTTCACCTCCCTTCCTGCTCTTCCACACAGCAGTGAGAAAAGCATTGGAAAACTTAAAATGCAGCCAAGAGGGTCTGGATTTCAGTTTCAGAAACAAATGTAATTTTAAAGACTCATGGAGAGTTCATTAAGCTATGGGTAGCTTTTAAGCTCCTCTTTTGTTTTCTAGTTTTTCATTTTCTCCAAAACACATTTCATCTGTAGCTGGCTTAGCAGCCCACATTCCTGCACTGCAGTAGTTTTAATCTCCTGAATACTTGAGCCCTGCACATGTGTTTCTCTCTCAGCTTTCATTAACATTCACCCTAGATTGACTGGTAAATCACTTACATTGTGAATAAATAATATGGAAAACTATTTTCTTATAAAATTGGGGCAGTTTGTAATTCTTCCCTTGTGGTCACTAGCTGGTAGATTGGATACTCCTACTGTTACATTGCTGAGGAGAAAAATAAACATTTTGGATGTTACTTCACCTAGTCACCTGGGGCACTAGTAACAGATGAATGAAGTCGACTGCTGATAGAAGGAATGTGGACAGAATTTAGAGATCAGATAAGAAAACAAGTTACTTTTACTGGAGACTTAGGGATATTTAAACATTTAATAATTCTCCTATCCCTCTTTTCGGCCAAGTAGCCTATGAATCTTCCTAAATAATTCAGATTTGAAGGTAATTGTATCTTAAAACAGTGGTTTATGTTGCATTAATATATACTATTCATGGACATTTGAGTATAGTTACACTGACAAGGAGCCTATGTATGTGTTTGTTCATGGCTTATGGGCTGGCCAGCTACCATTTGAACATGCTCGAGAACTCAGTTTTGATCCATCCATGTTGGAATCAGACATCCTCCTACCTTTGGAGCAGCTGGATGTCAGCCTGAATCTTCTAGGTACAGGCCAGGTAGAACAGTTTCCAGTGCACCTAAGAAAAGATGTGCAGTGTTTTAGATTTGCTGGCTTTCATACTATTTGGCTAGTGCCATAACCAACCCCCTTTATCTGCTTAGATGTCTTCAGAGGTAGTAATATGTGGCTCAGGAGTTTTAATTCGTTTTTCTCACAGGAAAATGGAGTCGTCTTGGGTTGAACAATTGCTGGAAATTTATTAGAAATACTGCAATT